GCACAATTTGAATCACTTCAGATTCCATCTCTTTGATAAGCTTATCATATATTTTGTAAAGCTCTTTTATTCTGCCTATTTCAATTGCTAAATTAAGTATTTTTTTCATTAATCCAAACCCTTTTCCCCATTGTTATTTTCGTGTTATTTCTTAGTAAATTTTCTTAATAAAAACATGACATTTGCAGATGCTTTCTAAATAAGAGAAATCCAGTTCTACTGCATGTTCTACTGTACCAAATCTATTATTTGATAACAATGAAATTGCTGGTATATTTGAAAGTGTTGAATCTGCCTCCATAACTGATATATTTATATACCAATGCTGTGGTAAAAGTCCAATATGAAATTTAGCAATTGAAGAAACAATCATTGTTGCAAAAAAATGATGACATATAAGACCATGATTAATTAATATCAAGCATATACACAGATGCATAGCATTATCATATAATACAATAAAATGCTTGCTTTTTTTATTAATAGAAAAAATACGTTAAAGTTCACGTATTCTTGTTGGATCTAAATCTACAATTAACTGCGCGAGTTCTATCACATATGCATCAAACATATCTTCAGAAAACATGCCTCTTAGTGATTCAACAGTTACCTAAAAAAAAACAATTAACTATATATAAGCATGAGAATGTCAGAAATTATCCTGAATGCTATTTTTCCAAAAAGTTTAGTCTAATTATAGTAACTATATTTAAGGTTTTTAGGAAAATGTCCTTTTGGAAAAATGGCCTTCAGAAAAACATACTGTAACCTACATAAGTAATTATAATCATAAAATCTGATCTATACCTGTTACTTAAGTTCATATTCCAAATTAGATAGATGACATCGATAATGCATGCTACGATTCATTTCATGTCGTTGGAGTTTAAGAATTGCCAGTATTAAGAAATATTGACATGATATGTCAACTTCTTTAAAGTAATGATTATAATAATCTTCATCTTGACTCACAGGAAGCTTACCAATGGTTTCATTTAACTTTATAAATTTGCTCTCTTTTGCTAATAACCTCTCAATTGTATGCTTAAGCTCCGTAAGTGAAGATAACCCATTAACATTATTTTTAATAATACTATTGTATGACTCTACACGTTGTGTACTTTGTATTCTAGCATTAAATACATGGTATGTAAAACACAATACCCAAGCCTCTCTATATAGATAAAGATAACGTTGCAAATAACTAATAGCATCAGGATATTCCTGCAATAATGCAGCCCATTTCCCTTCAAAAATTGATTCAACTCGACTATTGCGTGCATAACAAAAAGCTGCAAAAAATTTGTTCCATTTTTCACTATGATACTTGCTAAGAAAATGCTTTTCCAAGTTTTTTCTAATATAAAATAAACAAAAATGATGTTTTGTTGTTAGCCAAGTGCTATTTATTACTACAATCATCATGGGATCAGCATCTGTATAAAGTAAGAATAGTGTTAATCCTTCTGTTACTTTGAAAAGACTCATGAATAACTATGAAAAGGTGTCTTTTGTTTTATCTGACACTATAGCGGTTACTGCAAGGCGGGAGCGATTGTGATTATCTACCAATATTACAACAAACAAAATCATTGAATAACGATTTGTTTTTGCTGTTTTATCAAGTAAAATTATATCATGAAAATGAGCTCACAATTCTTGTTGGCTTGGATGCATCCAACAAAGTCCAACAAGATGATTATCCTGACCTTCAAAACGTGCATCAACATGAAATGTTGGATTTTCCTGCTGCTGATTCATAAGTATAAGATACATCGAATCAGCATCACTTGTAGTTTGATTTTTGTATCAGATTGTTTGAATCAAATTGTAAACATTACGGAAATGAATATATTTATCTGAATATTTATACTGTAAAACTTCAATAATTATACCAGCACGCATCTCACAAGTAACAAGAAGTGCTATATTATCACGCATTTCTGGAGTAAGCTTACGATAACAAGGGAAAACCATTCTAATATTCTCCACTAATTCATGATTATGCTCACCCTTAACCTTTGTAATATGAACGAGATTATCCTTTTTTCAATGGTAAGCATTAATATGAAACTTGCAATTATTTGTATTATGTCTTCTGTTACGATTTTTGTTTGTATGTGCTTTTTTTTGTTGATTATATATTCGACCTTTTGAGTATGTATAAATACAACGTCGAGAGAAACCATTATCCTTATCTTTATCGTTATGGGTAATCGTAAATACAAAGCCTTATTCTAATCCATGATTTTCAAGCCATCTTAATAAAACAAAAAAAGTTTTAATATTATTATACAGGTATAAATAATATGACATAACTTCCTAGCATACTTACTTGTCAAGTTTTTTCCAGTTTGCGAAAGTCATATCCAGTGTAATAGAGTACAATAGATCAATATTTTCAACTTCTTCGTAGTTATTCTCAAAAAACTCACTTAAAGACTCTTTTTCATTTAAAATAAATGATTGTATGTCATCAGCTAAAAGGTTAAAAGTATCTTCTGATATTCCAGATAGGTCAAAGTTATTGACACCATCATATTCATCTTCGATATGAAGAAATGGTATAAAGAAAAAGGAGTGGAAAGACATGACTAATATAATTAAATGTAAACGATAAGTGATGAGTAGTAGGTAAGTGATGCTAAACATAAATGGTATTAAAGTATTGAAACATTCAATATAAAGAGAGTGAAAAATATGTTTAATTACCGTAATTTCTAATTGCTTGACTCTGCTTTATGCCAAATAAGAGATATCGTTATAATTAAAATTCTCATTACTATGAAATTTTAAATGAAATAATGCTGAGAAAATTATTATTTCATAAAGTCAAAAAAATCGGTTTAAATTCGAAAACCAACAAGTTTGACCACTATCAAAAAAAAAAGTTATAAGGAACGGAGGAAAAAAAAGTATAAGGAATGAAGAGAGTGAGAAAAAAAACTTTAAGCATATAAAAGTGATACACAAATATATATTTAAAATTTAAAGTTTTGTATCAGAACTGATTATCTGATATCAATAAAGTTTATTTGCATAACACGTCACGTATTGCGCTAGCACATGTCACGTCTTCCAATTAGGTAATAAATAATAATAATCATGTGATCACATGATATGGTGTTGAATACTGCAGTGTGATTTATAATTTCTGATTATGATTAGTTAAATAAAATAATAAAAAAATTTATCAAAATTTAAAATTTTTTTTTTAATCATTTATATATTTATAAAATTGATTTAATTATTTATAAAAATAAATTAAAAGAGAATTTATAATAATAAGTAGATAAATTTAATTAAGAATTTTTATAATTTTAAAAATAATATTTTAAGATAAATAAAAATAATAAATAGATATCTATTTATTAATAATTCAAAAGATAAAAAATTATAAATATATAATAAAGGGATACTATTAATATATATAATTATAATTAGATTATGGTATTAAAAAAGATTATATTATCACTAAGTTTGTTTTTAGTTATCTTATTATTTAAGTTATAAGACTGTAACAGTTAATTTTACACTTTAGAGTTTTTGATCTTAGGATTTTTTTTAAATCTTACAGATATCTATTATACTTGAAGCAACTCAGCAATTTATTACGTTTTAGAATTTAAGATGTATTTAGTCAAACTCATAATGATGAACTCAATAGTAATTTAGTGTAAGGTATTATAACAAATCTTAGATAAAGAATAATATTGAAGGGAAAAGTAAATTGTGTAAATTTAAATTGATTCTTTTATTTATAAAACTAAAATTTGCAAAAGAGTTAATAAAACTTTAAATAAGTTAATTTACAACATAAGCAAAAAGCTATTTTATTTATACAAATTAACTTACTGCACTAATTATTTGATTATGCTATAACTAAATATTTTAGTAAACTTCAGCTATAAAATAATAATAAAAGATAAATAAATAAAGATATAAAATATAAGATAAATAATATAATATAAGAAAATAAATAAATATTATGAAGACATTTTAAAATAAAAAGTTATCTATTATCATGAGTATAATTAAAATTCATAGTATTAGAAAGAATTTATAAATTTAGTCTATTATCTAACAGTTCTTATGTGATATTTTTTGTATTTGTAATGATATTCACTTTCAACACTGACAATATAAAAAATTTTATAAATATAATTAAAGTAATAATATTTATTTTGTAACTTTTTAATTAAGATAATATTATTATATATTTAGATTAAATTGTAATAGTATATTATTTCTGTTATAATAAAATTATACTTAGTAGATTATAATAAGATATAATATAATTTTTACAAATATTTTGATAATCAGTTAGTAAATAATATTAATATTAAAAATATAATAATTATAATTAATATATTAAATTTATAAATTTGAGATTATATTACATTATATAATTTCTAAATATTTTATTATATAAAATAATTTATTAAATTTTAAAAAATGATATATAATCTTAAGATTTAACATTGAAATGTTAATATAAATTAATAATTTGAATTTTTGTATAATTATAATGTCATAATTGCTAACTTTGAAATTATAATTAAATTTTAATAATAAGAAAAATATTTTAAATTGGTTATTTTCTTAGATTTAATAATTTTCTTTAGATTTTATTATATTTTCTAAAATTAATTATTTTTTTATTTTTTCTAAAATATTTTATAATTAACTTAATTTATTTTTAAATAGAATAAATATAATAAGAATCACATTATACTTTTGCGGGTAATAAACATCACGTGAGCATTACTTTGAAACGATGATACATAAATTATTATTAGCGATTGCGGCACTACAATTTTGAATTAGTATACTCTTGATTAGGGTCGGTTTGATTTCCCAGGATATTTTCGATTTTTAATAAAATTCGTGCAAATTTAACATAAACTGTACATTATAAATTTTTGTTTGAGTGATATTGCAACAAAAGTTGTAACTTTATTGATATACGTCAAATTACCATCACAATCAAAATACAAATATGCAATCTATATAAACTTTGAAACGTAAAATAACTACAATGTTCCAATGTTGGCGATTAAATACCAGCTGTTCTCGAAAGGACTCCTGAGAATAAAACTTTAGGTTATTATCAATAAATATTATCATTCAAAGGTAATAAGCGATAATTCTTACGCAAGGAGATAAACAATTGCCATTAAATGAGCTATAATAACGGCGAAAGAAACATTCAACCATTTCTTATAGCAATCTTTATCGGCTTCAACAGTTTTTGCTGTTTGATCAAGTCTTTCCATGTCAACTTTCATTTTTCGGATTTCTTCATCGCTATCCGCGAGGTTCTCCTTGTGAATTCTTCCCATTTCGCGAATTTGATTTTCCATCTCTCTGACTTTAAATTCCAACTGTTTTCGTTCATTTTTTATATATTGAACTTTTTTTTCTAATTCAGTTTTATCGTTGCCCAATCGAGCGATTATCCCATCATTGCGGTCACATTCAATTTTAAATTCAATAAATTCAGCTTCTTTTGTTTCTAATTTATTTTTTAATACTCGCTTATGCTCCTTGAGTCTTTTATTCTCTTCTTCGATAGCATGAATTCTTCTTTCGGCCGTTTTTTGAATTTCTTCATTAAATGTAGCTTCAAGTTCAAAGGACGTGTCCGCAAGTTTATTAACTCTTTCTTCATATAATTCTATCGCTTCATGAATCCTTTGAGTGACCTTTGCATCATACTCTGTAGCATAAGAATCAATCGCTTCTTTGATTGAATCGCGAATGATTTGATCAGACATGACTCTGTCTTCCACCACCCTTTTCATTATTTCATCATCGCACTCTTTGACTTCTTTTCGGAGATCCTCATATGATGACTCCAGAATATCTAACCTTCCAAATAAGTTTTCCGCCTCTTCCTTGACGGATGTAATTATCAAAGCAAGTTTTTTGGCCCTATCTTCTTCAAGGCGTTGAAGGATGTTTTTTTCATTTTCTCTGATTTCTTTTTGTAAACGATTTTCTAATTCATCCTCGGTTTCTTTTAATAAAGTTATTCGATTATCGAACTTTTTCAAATCCTCTTTTATATCTCCTATATTTTTATAAGCTTCGGTATTCATTATATCAATTTTACTTCCAAGTTTTTCCAATTTATCACGTAATGAGATTTCCGATTCATTTGCTTTGCGTTCAAGTTCTTCCGATTTGATTTGTATTGTCCGAATTTGTTCTTGACTGTTTTGGTTAAGTTGTTCAAATTTCGGCAACTTTTTCAATACATCACAATTCCTATCCATTACAATTAAGCTCTTTGCAAGATCATCATACTTAAATAATACATCTTTTATTTGACCATTGAATCTTTCATTTTGCTCATCAAATTTTACATTTAAATCATCAGCGTTCTTGCGAGCTTTGTCTTGCAAAGTTTTAAAAATTTTTTCAATATCTGGAAACTTTTTTGTAAAACCTTGAAGTTCTTTTACATTTGCCTCCATAAAAGTTGTCGTCTCCTTGATATCTTGCACCAAATCTGAAAGCTGCGTCATCCTGTTACGTACATCTTCAATCTGGTTACCTCGACATTCGTTGGATTCGTCAAACTTTTTATCCAAACACTTGGTGGACGTTTCGTGACGAGCATCATTAATGTAATCATCCGTTTTTTCTATGATTATTTCTTGCATGCTCTCTTGTATAACTGGCTGAGCTTTTTCTGAATGAATATTTTCTTCAAGTAACTTTTCTTTACCAGTATTATCAACGTCTCCTTGCGTTTCCTTAGGATCGATATCTCCAACCTTAACATCATCGGCTTCTTTTACGGTTCCTTTTGTGAAGCATTTCATTTTCGAATTAGAGTATGTTTCTTCAACACCGTTTTCTGGTTTCTTGGATTTGTTTTCTAATTCAGATGTCAGAAGTTCAACGTCATCTATTAAAGTAGTATAGGTGATTTTGATATTAGAATCGATTTTTTTATGAGAAACTTCCAATATACGTTCAGCATTTCGTTTACATTGCAGAACATTTTTCGTTATTACGTCATCATTAGGTAATTGAAAGCTTTCATTCGAACCGATAGTTGCGACATCAGTTCTTAACGAAATTTCAGAAATATCAATATCTTCTTTAATAGATGCCATGTTTTCTATAAAAGAAAAAAAAAAAAAAAAAAAAAAATGACGATAAAACAAAAGGATTCACGTAATTAGCTCATTATTTAAAAATCAGTTACGTGAAATTTATTCCCCAAAACTCGAAAGGCGTTAAAAAAACCATATACAATATAAATATTTATATATCATAATAAGATATGAAAAAGTAAAATGATCGTAATACATTTTATATACGTTTTTTGTTATACTCACAAAAAAAAATCGCGTCTTTTTCAAAAGAAAAAATTCTTGGTGAAACGAACTATGACAAAAGTTGAATTCGAAAAGACTTGTCAATTGAGAAGACAAAACCGGTAAAGGTGAAGTAGATTTATTTGCGCGGGAAATGATCACTTAAAAGATGAAAAAAAAGGGGGTTAAAAAAAAAAAGAGATTACCTTATTTAGACTTTTCTCATACATTTTGATCTATTTAAAAGTCAAAGATATATTATATGATTTTGATCATTTTTATTGAATTTTTCAATTAGACAATAGTTTATGACGCAATACAATTGAAAAATTTATCAAACTTATCGCATATAGGGGTTTTAAAAAAAAAAAAATTAAATAATCATTTAAAACTTGAAATCATCTAAATCATCTATAATTAAATGAGGCTTCTCTTTTGCAAGGTGTAAAATAGTTTCGCCAAATAAACCGTTTGCCCAACTATTGAGTAAAACGAAGAAATTATTTTTTAAACAAAAATTTTTTTTTTAAAAAGCAATTAAGTAAATCATAAACTTACGCAAACCATGGTCTTGTATAATTATTTGGATTATTATAAAAAAAAGACTCATGCATTAATCCGGTCATGGCAGTAGATTCTTTAATTATCTGTAAGGTTTCTAAAATCTCTAGATCGTTTGATGAGGTCAAAATCTAAATAATAATAATAATAATTAATTAATAAATAAAATATACATAATATACAAATGTAAGTAAAATTACCATACCATCATACATAAACTCATAGGCCAAATATAACCTAATCCAGTATGTGGACTTCCAACACCGTGTAATTTCTCTCCGCCAAACCAAAATTTGTTCCAATCACTTAAAATCAATTCTCTTGTTTTCAAATAAGTTTTATCATTTTTATCAATAAATCCTAAATAAGGCAGACTTAAAAGGCTTGGTATATTAGCATCATCCATTAAATTCGAGGAACCATAACCGTCAACTTCATATGCAAAAACATTTTCAAATTTTTTATGCGAAATTATTGCGTTGGAATAAATGGCATCATGTATGGTGCGAGATAAATCATTAGCTTGCTTGGCAATGTCAGGCGATGTACATTTAATCATTTCATAAAGATGAGAGAGTTCAACTGAAGCCAAACAATTTGCTGGGATTAAGAAAGGAAACGTTGTGCTATCATCAGAAGGTCTAAATTGTGATTTTACAAGACCTGAAAAATATAGAATGAACCTGAATTTACATTTATCGAATAATAAAATGTGTAAATCTTGAAATATCCTTACCAGTTCTTCGAACAGGAGCTCCTAATTTTTTTAAACAAGGTTTTTAGATAATAAATTAAATAAAAATATATACACTGTACTATGTATGATATGATCAAGTTTCTTACCGATTCCTTCCATCATCAAAGTTTCAGTTGTAGTTCTTGTCAATCGTGAAAACATATAAGCAGCATTTCCAAATTCTTGCATTGTACCTAATTGTTGTTTTTCCATAATGTTTAAAATCGTAGAAACAGCTTCTAGCCAAATATTACTTGTCAGGAAACCGTTATCTTTAGTATGAGACCAATAATGATAAGATAATTTTAGGAAAGAAGCTAAAGAATCAAGTTCCCATTTCTTTTCCCATGTGACATTTGAAGAAGGTGGAGTTGATTTGTCAGTAGTGGACCATGGATTTTTTGGATGAGAAAGTTTCGATTCAGGTGGAGCGTAATATGCATTCGCATATGGGTCCTATTGAATCGAAAAAAAAAAAAAAAAAAAAAAAAAAAATTATTTTTAAGAACTGATATGAGAAGCGTGCCAAATGTCGAAATTCTACCTTGACAATAGATTCGGCCTGCATATATATGATACCCAAGATAAGTTTACACAATTTCTCATCATCTTTTGCATAGGGAACATAAGAAATAATTTGATTTGTCGAATCTCTCAACCACATTGCTCTAAAGAAAAAGATATTTTCTAGGTGTCAGAGTATCTCTTGACAAACAAAAAAATGAAATGGATAATTTTAATTACGGAATATCTCCGGTGACAATAAATGTTCTTGGATAACCTTTACTATCATCAGTCCAAGCTATTGTCGTATCTATATTATAAAACTCGGTTAAATATTCCAATCCTTTTTTTTTTTTTTTTTATCTTGAATCGGAAAAAAAATTAATTTACCTAAAGTATTTGGCCAACAATTTTCAAATAGTCTTGCCAAATCTTTATCCTTCATATTCAAAGTTATCTTTTTAATAACTTCTTCAACAATAGGACTAACAAATTTTCGTTCAGATTCCTTAGGACGGACTAACGGAAATTTCGATGAATTTCCAGCTTTATGATAAGGGACAATATTCCATGGTAATTGATTAGTAGATTCACTTTCGGATAATTGGGCCATAGTTATCAAAATTGCCACAATCACTAAAATTAATTTAAGCATAGACATTTAATTTCTTTAATATTATAGAGTTTGGAAGAAATTGCCTTTGTTAACGAACAAAATGGTTCATTTAAAACATTTTTAATTTGGTGTTACTGAAGATAAATAACTGGACTAACCATTAGCACATTAACTCATGTATTTTTGTTTCTTTAAAATCAAAGGTATGAAGATTTGGCTACATTCGACATTTTTTTTCCTAAAGATATACAAACAACATTCTGTATTTAATTTTTATTGGTTAAATGTATGTTGATTGCATATTTCTGAGTTTTTTCATGTTAAAAAAACGGCGGTTAAAATAAATATAATATGAAATTTTTTTTTTTTTTTTTTTTTTTATCATAATTTATATACAGTATCTTTGATTTGAAAAGAACACACTTTTTCTAAACAAATCATTAATCATTAAGGAAAATTTTTTGATGGTATTTAGCTGGATTGAAAATAATTGATTGTTCGTTTTAAATGCAACAAAAAAAAATTATGGTAAAGATTAATTGACTTTATAAATAGTATATCCGTCAAAGATCAAAAAATAACGTTAATTTTTATGTGATATTTAAATGTAATTCTTTCCTTTAACGTTAATACAAAATTTTGTTCTCTTATTAGGATGTATCTCTTATAAGGTAAAATAGAATATAACGATAATGTATAGATAAAGTTAATAAATATTAGAATTTATTATTAAATTTTAAAATTTCATTTTTTTAATAAAAAAAAATTATATTTGAATTTTTTAAAATTAATAAAATATATCGGCAGTTTGTCATTAAAATTTTCGAACTGAATATGCTCACAAAAAAGATAAAACATTCCATGACAAAATTTCGGTATGTTTTATTTAACTCGAATTTCGTATCTCTTTTAATTATCGTGAAAATAGCCATGGATGGTATTTCATACTGCCCCACAAGCAAAACAAGATAAAACAGAATATCGCTTCTCATTTATTCTTGAGAATTCAGCCAAATTACGCAGGAATTTTAGAAGTGGAATAATTCGATGTCATTTCACTTTGTAAAAACTTCATCTAGACGCGAACCTATCCTACCTACCATTTTTCTATTTTTTTTTTTTTTTTTTTTTATTATTATTATTTAAAAAACGTTAATACGCAGCCACAAATTACATAGAATGATACTTTGCACATTTTAATTTTATCAAATATTTTTATTAATAAGGAAATTGGTGCATTGTAATTATTTGAAACAATAAATACAATAAATGTCTAAATCTTTAAAATATTAACAAATAAATTTTTAAACAAAAAAAAAGAAAACTAATAGGATTTTTCTACACAAAAACAATTATAGATTTTGTTCAATTTGATTATTGATCGCGTGAATAGATTGCCTGCATTTATCGAAAAGTTGTAACGTCACGATGAAACCGTTCGTGCTAAACCTGAAGTAAAACAATAGAGTTTTTTACTAATTTAGTATTTGCTAAGGGAGAGGAGGTCACACAAGACGGGTGTTTCTCAGTTTTTGCAAGTATGATAAAACGAATCTGCACTACCCTATTTAGGAGACTGTCAGCATTACCATACACGGCTTGGAGGCCGCACACCCCGCATATTA